AAATCATTAACCAACATGACCAATGCAGTTTCTGGACTGCACCAGGCTGGCTGGGCTGAGGAAAGTCAGAGATACTTTTACTATAAGTGGCTTCACCATCTCAATATTCTTACCCCCAAAATAGATTATCATGAGCAAAGCCCTGTGTCTGGGGGATAGTTCCACAGAGTCGTCTCTGTCTGTCCTGAGGAACTAAAGAGTAGAGCTGGCTGATTTCCCTCCCCCACCTCTGGAATATTTAGATGAGAACAAAGACAAATAATTTTCTTTTAAATTTTCCATGGAAATTTTTGATTTTTAATGAGTATTTTGTTTTTCAGTCATTCAGCTTTCAGTGAAAAAAATGAAAATTTTCCACAGAAGGTAGACAGTTCTTGTGAAAAATTGTATTTATTCAAAACTCCAGTTTTCCGTTGAAAACCAGTTTCAACAAAAAAAAAAAAATTACAACCAGCCCTGCTAAATAATATAGGGGACTGGTAGATGGTCTTGTTGATAAGAAGATATTGGACTGGGACTCTGGAGCGTGGAGTTCAGTTCCTCATTCTATCAGAGATTTTCTGTTTGACTTTGGGAAAGTCTCTTAATCTCTCTGTGCCTCAGTTCTCCCTCTGTAGAATGAGGATAATGATACTTAGTTACCTCTCAGGGGTGTTTCGAGGCTAAATTAATGTTTGTGTGGAGCTCAGAAATGATGGTCATGGGGGCCATATAAATACCTCTGTAGACTGAAGGTCACCAGTTTGGTTTTGGATTTTGCTACCAAACAGCTCTGTGAGATGGGATGAGTCAGTCATTTCAGTTGAGTGCCTGGTGAACAGGTGTCCATATCTCACAAACCACCTTCATAACTGGAACCTTTATGGGCAGTTTCGTAAAGAAGAATGAATGAGATAGGGCAGTGGCTCTCCACCTTTTTGATAGTGTGACCCTGTATTGCAACAGATACAAGCTTTTTTTAAACCCCTTGCCCCTCCCTGCAGTCTAACCATAAAGAAAGTGAATGAGATTACGACCCCCCCACTCCCGAGCCTGTTCACAGTCCCCAGGCTGAGCACCCAGGTGCTGGGAGAGTGAATTATCTTTATAATCACAGAGCTGGGCCTCAGGTTATTGTTAAAGCACAGGACATAATGGGGAAGCCAGCACTTTCCCCTTCACCTGTGGACAAAAGACTTCAGTTTCCAGGGCTGTCAATCTGTCACTTTTCACAAACTCGAATAAATTCACTGAAATATGTTTTCCTTCCCGCAGACAAAGACCATGCAATTAAATTCTTATATTCCCAGACTTAAACATTTTCTTATCTTTTTTTCTTGCTAAAAATAAAATCCCTGGCAATTTTTCATTTTAGGAACCTGTATTTTATATGACTTGCAAGGAAACATAATTCCTCAGACTGTCCTATTCATTTCTCAGCCAGCCGGCTGTCTGACACTAAATTTCTTTGACAAAAAGAGACTAAATATAATTATATAGATATTGTTTGATCTATGTGCTCACCGCTCCCACCCTTGTCTATAGATCTGTCTCCGTGTTGGTCTGCCTAACTGTAAAAACTGCAGTTGGAGAGAGCTGGTTATATGGAATATCGTAATGCCAGTTAAGTTAGAAGGGTGTCCCCTGAAGCTGTGCTGGAAGTTAGCCCAGCTGTCTGTCAAATAAACTGTGACAAGCTTAGCTTGCACATGGACAGCTTCCTGACATCTTTGGGCACCTGGACACCACAGCTCCCGTCAAGAGGAGCACAGGAGAAATGTTGGTAGCTTGTATATTGCAAAAAGCATCACTCCTCCTGCTGCTGCTAACATTTATGATTCCTTATAAGTTGTACTTTATGTACAGGTCATTTGTATCATTGCTACAGAAACTCCTGTATGAAACAGGAGGTTCTTTGATAAAGCTCTTTCCAGTGTGTTGTCTTATTCCCCAGTTACAGAAGAACCCTGAATTCATTATTCTTTGTCACTTTTCAGGCAAAGACAACTGTGCCTAAGGTGCTTCTTTAACTGGACTTCATTTTCAATTTCTTTCTTTTCATCTACCCAGAGGTGACACAACTATTTATACCAACAGACCAAAAGTATACAATAAGCTCACTCTGAAATACTTGCTAATTGCCATCTCGGTGGATTTACCAAGACAGGTCAGAGACAACATGTCTTGTTAAGTCAGCTGTATTTTCAGACAAAGGAATACTGGCAGACTTGTAAAAAGTTTCCCTTTCTGAAACACAGCTAGTGTTGTTTGGTTTTCCAACAGGCAAAATGCCTGTAGATCAGATGCAGTGGAAAGGAGAAGGACCAAATAGAAAACTTAATAAAGTGGATAGAAACATGTCTCTTCATACAAATATATCTATGTGTAGTATCTTAATTTTTGGAAGACCATGAGTGTATTAGATGCTAGCGACATTGGCAGACTGATATTACTGGCATATTATTGAGTGAAATATAAGTAGGATGGATGGTCTTTTGGTAACGCACAGGACAGGGAATTGATTCATAACTTTGTCAGCCTCAGGGAAGTCATTTACATTCTGTGTGACTCAGTTTCCCCACCAATAAAATGGATATCACACTTATCACATGGGGTGCTGTGAAATTTAATGCATTATTGTATGTAAAGCATGATTGCAATACACATATTTATTTCATGGCTGTGTATGGCATACATGTACTGCAAGGAAGGCTTCCTTGACAGATTTTTATCGATTATGTCAATTAGGATTATGTCAATCCTACTATTCCAAACCTGCTAACCTCCAAAACACTTCTGTTATAGCATCTTACATCTGATTTATGACACTCCCTGCTATTCTAATCTTCGGTCTTTCCTGACCATATTGTAGGGCAGCTGTCCACTGGGCACTGGGTTAAGATCACCAGCCAGATTTCCTGGAGAGAGACAGTTGTGCTGTAACCTTCTGTTCCAGGTAGCCCTAAGAACTGCTCCTTTTGTCCTGCTGAACTCTTTCTGATGGAAGGACAAATAGCCCAAATTTACAGCTGGAAAATGCAAATGTGGCCAGGTTACTTTAGATCTCAATTAGTAGCCCCTTTGAATGGTAGAATAAAACACCAGGTCAGGGTCAGATGGAGGTAAGCATGGATCCACAATAAGGATCTTCGGGCCAGATTTTCCAGAGATATTTACGTGCCTAAATATGCAGATTTGTGCCTAGTGGGATTTTCAAATATGCCTAAGCAGGTTAGACACCTAAATCCCATTGAAATCAAATAGATATTAGGCACCTAACCTGCATAATCATGTTTGAAAATCCCACTAGGCATCTACCTGCATCTATAGCCACCTAAGTACCTTTAAAAAAAAGAACAGGAGGACTTGTGGCACCTTAGAGACTAACAAATTTATTAGAGCATAAGCTTTCGTGGACTACAGCCCACTTCTTCGGATGCATATAGAATGGAACATATATTGAGGAGATATATATACACACATACAGAGAGCATAAACAGGTGGGAGTTGTCTTTCCACCTCTGAGAGGCCAATTAATTAAGAGAAAAAAAAAAAAACTTTTGAAGTGATAATCAAGCTAGCCGAGTACAGACAGACAGTTAGATAACAAGTGTGAGAGATTCTTACAAGGGGAGATAGATTCAATGTTTGTAATGTCTCCCACCTGTTTATGCTCTCTGTATGTGTGTATATATATCTCCTCAATATATGTTCCATTCTATATGCATCCGAAGAAGTGGGCTGTAGTCCACGAAAGCTTATGCTCTAATAAATTTGTTAGTCTCTAAGGTGCCACAAGTCCTCCTGTTCTTTTTTTTAAAGGTACTTAGGTTTCAGAGTAGCAGCCGTGTTAGTCTGTATCCGCAAAAAGAAGAACAGGAGGACTTGTGGCACCTTAGAGACTAACAAATTTATTAGAGCATAAGCTTTCGTGGACTACAGCCCACTTCTTCGGATGCATATAGAATGGAACATATATTGAGGAGATATATATACACGCATACAGAGAGCATAAATAGGTGGGAGTTGTCTTTCCACCTCTGAGAGGCCAATTAATTAAAAAAAAAAAAAAAAAAA